GACTTCGCGACAGGTTCACGAACAAATTATGCCTCTCATTGCCGGAAGTCTGAGAGTTTCTTCTTCTATATATTTTTTAGATATCACTATCTATAATGATTATTATCCCATACGGATAAAAACCAAGCTAATATCATTTAGAGTTGTACGTTTTGCAATATGTAATAAGTAAACAAGCTGGGATACCAAAATTTCATTCAGTAACAAATTAATTTGTTATCAGTGAAAAGATAAACACAATAGATGTCTGAAACAAGCTACAATTTCTAATGTTTATTTACGTACAAATAAGTATCAAATAAAAAATATAATAAAGAATAACTTAAACACATTTCTTACTTTTTGTTTTTAAACTCGTTTTTTTGAAAATAATTGTTCAAGTAAACCGCATTTATTTTAAAAATTCAAGAATTATTTTGCAATTAGAGTTATGCTGGTTCGATTGTATGCGACCCGCAACCAAAGTTTTCTAAAAAGTCAATGCACAACTCGATAGGTATTTCAGGCGCGTGCAAGGTAGTGAATTAATTGAAATAAAGAAACATTAATGTTGCAGTAAAAGAAAAGAAGAAAAGTGGATCCGTGTTTATATTGTGCAATGTTAAAGAAGTCTAAGATGCCGAGATACAATTAGGCGATGGTTGCACAGTCTTTTGCGTATACAATACGTGCCCGTGCAACTATATTGTGACGCGAATAGATAGATATCTACCCGTGGAATGCGATGACTACTGCATGTAATATTAACCAGAGCGAAAATGAAAAAGGCAATGTATCAGTCATGCAATCACGTCACTACATTGATGCATTGACGAGCATTGAGTAACGAGTTTATCTAATAATAAGCTATAATTTCTACGGAAGTACGAAAAGAACAGTATAGTTTTTATCTGTAAAATTGAGGGCGTACAGAGAATGTGTAAGAAAAAAGTTTAGCCACACAGTTTTATGTGTTTATCAAATTATTACCCAAGTAATAATAAGACGTAATTGTCACTTCAAAATTTGTTTTTGTTAAATATACGTTACTAAAGTAGCGTATATTAAAATGAAACAAACTCTGGAATATTAGTTACATCTTATCATAAAGATTGCACCAAAATTTTCATTTGTTGGTGAAGCTTTATGGCTACCTAGGAGAATTTATTTATGAAAAGATAAGGGAAGGGGGGCATCGTCGAAGCATTCCCGAAGCACCTTAAAGTATCAAAATGAAAAGTGGTCGTTAAAGGTTAATTATTATTATTATCGGTATTTAAGATATAACTAATTCTAGAGTTGTATTTTTTTAATATACGTTATTAATGGCTTGTTGAACATAAAACTTTTTAACCAAATTTTTTTGCTATCCTGCATTTAATAAATCTTGATAGAAACTTTGTTGTGCGACATTAAAATATATTTTAAAATCGGAAATTAATGGTAACTGACTATATAAAATAGTATCGCAGTTTTATAGATACAAAAAGAGTTTTTATTTCAAGAATTAATTTATCATACATTTTAAATCTATTATTCATCGTTAATGAATGGTAATAACATATTACGAAGAGTAATAACATAATTATCATTTTGTTAATGACAAATAATTAATAAAAATCGGACTATAAAAAGTTAAAAAGCGTAACATTATTTTATACTCGAGATACGTTAGGTAGTAAGTTCAAGGAATCAAGCTTATGAAATGAAAATCTTTTTTATCGCAAAAATCGTAAAGTAATTATCTTAAATAGCTACTACTTCACGTGTAATACACAAGACTGACGTTAATTAGAGCGATATAAAAGGATTCTATTCGTAATCTTCCTCGTAAAAGGAAAATGTGCTATCATACTTGCTCCAATAATTTGCAAAGCTTATTGCGCTTTATAAATGATGTATTAACTCTGTTAGAAACTCTGTAAAAATATTACGCACTGTGCGTTATATGCAATAACTTAGTGTATAATGTAAAATTAAATAATGCGAATTAATCTTAATTTAATCTTAAACTGTGTAAAATATTGTGTAAAGTGCATTGAATGCAATTAACATATAATCTTAAATTAATAAGTATTAACGTAGATTAATTTTAATTTAATATCAACGGTTAATTAATTTCGGAATTTCCTATCTATCTTAATTTTTATGTTGTTACGTTTACTTTTTTTTTTTTCTATGCTATAATAAATTGAGTGTAATGATTATAATTGAGTAAAAAATGATTTTTTGGAGTATAAAAGTTTCCAACAAGATGAAGAGGTCGAGATGAAACTCTTATGCATCACTAGTCATACTAACTTCCTTTCGCGACCCATATAGAACGGTTTGGCGAATATATATGGTATACACAGCCGCGTATATCGGCGCAAGTGTATACGCAAGTGTACATCTCTATGCGCGAAAGGGACTTTACTTTCTCAAGCACGCGACCGCCGTCACTCCATCGGCAGCTCCTCTTACTTTCTCTCCCGCACGTTTTAAAAGTAGGTCCCAAATAGGATTAAGCGATCTTTGAAGAGTCTTACTACTCGAATCGCTACTTGTATTGCACGCTCTGCGTTGCAACGTTACCTACCGCTAATTATACGAACAAATACTATATGTAATAAGCAGTGATCGGAATTACGATTGACATGGGATCCCTTACAGAAAAATCTAAATGTAAATTATTATAAAATATAATTTTTTATAAATATCGTTTAATACATTTCTTCTTTCTTAATAACTGTTTCTTACGAATCTCTTAATGTGATTCCATCAAAAATCCACAATAAAAAATTATATTAATTAAAATCCTTATTTTTTTAATACTGTCATAATAAGCAACTTAAGTAGTTTAATGTTTGTTTGGTTTCCTTTTTCAGAAAATTGGATTAAATTCATATCTATAATGTAAAATACTATAATAAAGCGGAAAATCAATAATATACAATAAATTGTTAACAATAATGATTTTAATTAGGGTATAAAAATGCTTTAGTAGATCGTTTACGTAAAAAAATTCTGGAGATTATTTGAGGTATGATACTCAAAAAGTAATTAACCACTACTTTTCAGTATATAATTTGACAATTTCTGTAAGGGATGTGCAATCTGTTATCTGCAAAATGTTATCTCTATAACCAATTTCTTTCCCATTTGTCGGTAAATTTAATTTGATAGCTCTCTGTTCTCTGAAGAAAACACTTAATAAGATCAATGTGTCAATTCTTTAACTTAAATATCTGAGTAATTATACTAATTAATCTCTATTCGAGTGACATTTTTTCAATACTTATCGTTTGTTACACGCATTTATCGGCTTTCTAATCAATAAGCGAGCGAATCTCGGAGGGATAACTCCAGTATTCGCTCCACTTACGTCTTCACGGCGTCATGAACGGTCAATTACCCTCGTAAATACATCTCATGGCGTGCATTCATAAAACGCAAGTTACTACTTCTATCTTACTACACAAAAACATGCCATTCCTATGTCTTCGCGCACAATTTTTTTGTATGTTACTTAATTTTCATTACGTTAGATTTGTTCTTCTTTTACGCGGGCATAAATATATCGGCTTATCGACTAGTTTAACGTGCTGCTTAAGATAATAACAAGTTGGAATTTACATTGCAATCCGTATATATATATATATTAGTTTTATTGCTACTCGATTAAATTAAGTATTTGTCTCTAATTACATTTACGTGCGTCATGCAATCACTACATGGTATACAATTTTTATAATATACAGTCTCAAAAGTATTCTTTCTTTTATTAGTCGCTTTTTATACATATATACATGTCCTCGCTTTCGTCAGCGAAAGTGAATGGGACGCGACAACGTTTCTAATCAGCCAATTTGTATCAAAAACTACTTGCATGTTCGTAATCGAATGTTATAAGTACGTCTAATAAAGATTGTAAACGTCACAAAACAAATTAGAGATTGAGATCAGCATGTAAATTGTTCTATATAATTTTAGTAGTGTAAGTTATAGTGCATAAATACACATAATACAACACATAAAAATCAATAAATTAACGCGCTTAATATTAGTTTCTCAGTTTTTATGAAATTCAACAACTTTTATTTTTAATAAGAGGAAATCGTTAAAAAATTCTTAATTTTAAATTTCACAATTAAAAGATTATTGCAAAATTTTATTACTTTTATTCCTAGATTAACGATTAAATATTTCCCAGTAAACATAAAGTAATAACATTGATTTATAATTTTACACTCAACAATGCATAACAATTACATAAAATATACTACAACATTTCAATCAGCAATGTTTTAAAAAATGTTTTAAAAAATATTTTTAAAAACATTAAAAATAATGGGTTAAGTCCCCTTTTTTTTTTTATTAAAAAAACATTTATTTAACGTGTATTTGAAGAAACATTTCTTTAATGTTAAAAAAAAACGTTTTTAATGTTAAAAATATTTAAATAAAATAAGAAAAAATAACAAATATAGAATCTTTTTTTAATTTTTTTTTTATCGACAGTGGCTTAGACAACTATAATTTTATTTATTAATTTCTAATTTGATTATAATTTAATCTTTTCCCCTTACCGGCCGGGTTTTAACCTGGAATCTCAGGGTAATGAGTCTCGTATCTTATCCGTACATGACACTTATCGATACACACAGTTCTTATTATCCATATATGGTACATACTTAACGCAATTATATTATATTAACTTCTCTTCCGATTATAACCCAATCGTTTTTATAAATTATTCTTTTAATTATTTCCTACGTTTTGTTATTATTATTATTTTTTTCATACTAAACAATAATTTTACAGAAGAAAGAAAGATGTATGGGATGTATATGAACATGTATGAAATACATCGTATTATATATACATATGTATTATACAATATATTATATATGTTTATATATATTTATATAATGACTGAATGAATACATGAAAAATTTTTTATCAAGATATATTGCATAACATCAGTACTACAAGTAATTATATGTTATTGTTGCAATTCAAAAAAAAAGATTTTTTCGCGTTTCCAAAATAACAGCTTACAAAATAGCAGACATATGTATGCATCCTCCTCCATAAATCCTTTCATATTATGAAAATGCGAATTACACAATATTTTACGTCATCAAATATAGCAGGAAATGTGCATTATAAAATCGCACTGAGGTCGACACACGTGTTTAGCTGAGAGTACAAGAAACTCGCACTTACAGCAACCTCGTGCAGTGCTGCTGCCACTGAACGAGTTTTATTACACTCGATTTTGGATTGCACTAGTTCAATTCAATTCAATGTAATCTTCGTGTAGGAACAGAAATTAACCGAATGTCTTAAGTTTCCTCAGATTGGTTCGTAATACCTCAAGACTCAAGAGTCAGAACTCTAGCAGTTAGCGTGACTGCTCTCTTGCTGCTTTCTGTTTATATTAATGTGAGTGCTGCTTTTAATTTAGTGGGATTTATTATTACGTGAGTCAACGAAATGAATATATTGAATCGATACCCGCAATTCGCTCGTCTGAGTGCTCTTTGTCACAAGAATGTACGTATGAATAAACTTATGCTTTATAACCCGTTTCTAATCTCATCTCTTTCTAACCTAAATTAATATTCGTAAATGCGATATAGCAAGACAGAATAACGGGAAAAAGTCAGAATTACTTACAACTTCAGCAAAAAATTAGGAATTATAATCTGAGGAGTAATAATATAACATTCTAGAGCTTAGATGTCATATAACTTCAACATGTTGAAGGCTTGAAACTTGCCAATCGGTGGGTCTAACTCCAAAAACCCTTCCTCATAAATGATATACTTTTATAGAAATTTAATACTGAAAAATAGTAACTACTTATTTTGAGTGTTAAAAACACTCAAAATACTGTTGTGTAGTGCTTTCAATACTGAAAATAGATACTGATAATTATTTACTACATTATACTATTCAATTAGTATTAAATTAGATTTTTGTAAGTATAGTAAGTAATGGTAAATAATTCGCTTTGATTTTAACTTGATGTTTGATTTTTCAGATTTCTCGCTTTTCTACAAAAAAAACCGATAGTCCATCGATACCTGTGAATCCTCTGAAGGATATATACAGTGCCAATGATCAAACTGGAACCGGAGCGATATACGACAAAAAACCATTCAGGATACTTCTTACTGCTGGCAAGAATTACTCGTGGTGCCTATGTGGACAGAGCAAGAATCAGCCATTCTGTGATGGCACGCATAAAGACATTTTTCTTAAAATAAAGCTGAGGCCCATACGTTTCACTGTTACGGAGACTAAGAACTATTGGTTGTGCAATTGCAAACAAACATCAAACCGACCTTTCTGCGATGGAACGCACAAAAGGCAGGATATACAGGAGAAGAAAATGTAGATGACATGAAACTATATTGTTGATATAACACATTGAATTTTGGAAATAAATATTACTTTTTCGGTGTGCCGTACCTCTATAGGTATCCGAAATAGTGTATATAATATGTACATTAATAAAAATACTTTTACCACGTATTACAAAATAATACCATTTCTAATTCCTTTTCTAGGAATAATCGGCCAAACTGATTAAATAAAAAGTATTTCTAAACATAATTATTATTTAATTTAATTATTTGTTAAAATAATTATTTGTTAAACTTAAATAAGTAAATCATTAAAAGATATTAATACTTAATTGTGATATTAAAGTAAAGATTACTTTTATAGCGTGCCATATCTTTTATAGATAATTAGAGTGGTATATATAAATGCATATTAATAAAAATATCTTTGACTTATATTATAAGTAAAAATCCCATTTCTAAACCCTTATATTATAAGTAAAAATAATCCATTTTTAAACAATAATTGATCAAATTAATTAAATAAAAATTCTTAAACGTGAATTAAATACATTTTTTTTTTAGAAAAAAATATTGAGATTAAATTGTGAATCCTCGAATTTCGGGACACACTGTATACATAATGTCTATTTATATGTATCAGTAAAAAGAATTCGTGTTTATGTACTCTCTTTGCAAATTGGACAAAAATCGGGTTTTCTTTAAAATGTAGACACTATCATCTCACGTACATATAATAAAAAAAATTAAATTAAAAATATTTATTATGTTTTTTGTTTATTGTATATTTTATAAAATTGACAAACAATTGTTAAATAAATGTGGACAAATCATGGACAATTGAATCCTATGAGATTTAGAGATAAACGTATTGTTGTATTTACAAGTGTAATGACAAATTTTTTAACTTTTCATTTGTTTATATTTTGATTTTGCAAGATAGACAAAAGACAATTGGATAGACAAATGCGTACACAAGGTGAACAATCGAATTCCGTACATAATTTAGAAGAAAATATGCATACAAAAAAGGGGCTAGAATTTTTTATTTATTTATAATTTTTTTGGAAAGTTAAACAAATTATGGATGATCGAATGCGAATTCGCATATAGGGGTGCCAACTTCACAGACTTCTAACTTCACTGGTATCTATGTTCCAATTAAATTATACCTTCTATGTTCCATTTGAATTATACCTCATTGCCTTACAAATATATTATTTATCTCTATCAATCACGAAGACTTATTTTATGTATTTTACTTCCATTTGATTTACTCTTGATGTCATAAAACTATTTTCCCTTTTATATTAATTAAATGAATAAATAAATAATTAGAAAATAGAAAACATTGAGATTACATGGCAATATCATTTTTCTGTCTTTTACTACGTGTGTACGGCTTCAATGTTTCCACAATTGTACAATTATCTTGTCTGATTGATGTGCATTTCCGAAGTCGGAAGTACGTAACATTTGCATCTCTATTATTCGAAAAAAAAATGCAACGTGCATTATATGAGTCGCAGTGTGTCCATAGTGCTTCTAAATAATCGATCGTATCTTCTCTTAAAATCTTAAGACAATATATTTACAAAATGCCAAGCTTTAACTTACAATTGATGTTGTTCTTAATGTTTATGTATGTAGCGTATTTAGCGATCTGTGATCACTGCTGTTTAATCAATCGCCATGAATTGCCGCAATACGATCTAATAAAGACCAATTTGCGCTCGAGTCAACCGATCATATCACGAAGAGTGGTTTCCCATGTGAACGAGTGTAAGAAATTCGCCGCATCAAAGAAAGCTCTCGCCTTCAATTTTGTTTCCGCGAGAAACCCCACCGGTATGCGAATGACAGACAATTAAACGTAATTACAACAAATGTAATTATAATAATTTTGACAGACTTTCTAATTATGGCAAAACATAACGTGTATTACAAGTGCAGACGTGTTATAAAATGCGACGTAATTATTAGTCAATTCAATTATCATGATTAATCCAGCATATTACACGTTTCGTGTAATTTCTTCAGTATATGTTCTTATGATATTTCTTTATCAACGCGCAGGTGGACAAGAAAACTCGTGTCAAGCTCTTCAATGTCCCGAAGATCAAAATATGACGACCCTCGTACCCGAGACAAATTGCAAATATTACAGCATGTATCCCGTTTTATCTCCGCCCGGTAATTGCAATTACAATTACTCGCATTACTCGCATAAATATCTATGGAATTTGTATATTAGCACATATGTCGCGCTATATCGAAATCAATCGAGCATATAGTTGTCAATATTTTAGAAAAAAATTTCAAAGTTTCTGTTTGTTTTGATAAATATATACTCGTATAATTGCAAATTACAAATTTAATGTAATATTTATGTAATATTTATACGAATATTAATTCCAAACAAAGTTTCATATTATATGATATTAACATGATGATATTCATGTAATATTCATGTGAATATATTCCTTTTATAATGCCATTAATTATTAATCAATAATAATAAAAAGTCATATATTAGGTTGAGTAAAAAGTCATCGCGTATTTTTTAGCTCAAAGTTATATATACAATATTTTCGTCAATAATGAATGAAATTCAAATTTAAAAAAAGGGTTTTAAAGCTTGAAATCTCTACTTTTAAAAGCTTATCACATTTTTTAAGTTTATATGAGTTTGATAATTTTTACATACCAAAAACTACGAGCTGAAAAAGACGAAAAATTTTCTTCTCACTTTGTAGATTTGTAACGTGTCCAAAACGAATTTGAGAAAATTTTCGATTACCTATCGTGAAAGCTTGATACTTTCCCTACAAAATCGTTTTTTTTTAATATTCCTACGACTTTTGATTACTGAGTTATCGCGGATTAAATAAAAGAATTATTTTGACTTTAATTGCTCATAACTCCATTAAAAATTGTCGTATCGTATAATTTAAAAAAGAGATTTTTAAAGCTGAAACTTTACTCTATCAAGATATATTTATATTGTTGGTAAGAAAGTAATTGCGGTTTTTACTGATAGATGTCTTTTAAAAAAACGCGATGACTTTTTACTTAACCTAATATATCTTTATATTAGTTCAGTCATTAGGACATTTACTTTACAAGATGCCTGAATTAATTTTTTCAAACTTTCTAAATTTCTGACATTGTTAATAAAGATTACTTTTAGTGAACGCTACGATAGAGTGCATTCCTAAAGCGGGGATGTTTCTATTCTCGTCCGAGGTACTGAATTACACGGAGGCACGAAGTTTCTGTCAGAAACGAAACGCATCGCTCGCACATGTGATAAGCGAAGAGCGCACGGAAGGCCTCGGCAAATTAATGTCGCAGAATTTTTCCAGATTCGTTGGTCTCAGCAGCGAAAGGAATGAGAGAATCTGGAAGAACGAATTCGGTAATTCACTACCATAGTTTACGTTTCTTATTTGCAACAAAATAAAATCTTTCAATTCGAATGCCAAACATTTCTCTTTACAAAACTAACAAAAAATACATGATTTTTGACAGGTGAATCCTTATCTTGCTTCGATTATCGAGCGTGGGGTGAAGGACAGCCGTCACACTCGAAGGGTTGTGTTGCTCTCACAAATCCGTCTGCTAAAAGTTCGCCGCCCTTCTGGAAAGTGATGCCGTGTCACGCATTGTTGCCATTTATTTGTGAAATCCCGCCGTTGTCTCGAGAAACTTCGAAGCGACGTTATGGGAATCACACATGATACGTCATCATGCATGATATGATTAAATGTATAATCAAATGCATTTCATGAGAAGCAATTATATTTATAATAAAAACAAACTTGAGAAATCAGAATGACGTAATATTTTTTGACAGAATAGCTCAATTGAAATAAATCAAATATAAGTAATCACAAGGGCTACGAGCCAGTTAAAACGTCTGTACTTTTTACTGTTTTAGTTTTAAATATTAAATTTTATTAATTTTAACTGTTTCGTATTGTAATATTTTGTCCTTTTTGATGAGATTTTCTTGGGTTTCACTTATGCCCGTTACCAATATAAAGTTAATCTCGATCCAATTGACTCTTCATCTTTTTCTAATTGTTAAAACTAAAGAAAAAATGAAGAATAAGTTAAACTGAAAGTCAAACTTTGAAATATAAAATTGATGAAAATGGGCATTAGCAATGAGTGCGATAAGGTCAAAATGAAGGCAAACATTAAATATGTATAGAGATTTAATATAGGATTACAGGACTCCAGCATTGCGTATGTAGAGAGTGATTTACTCTCTAATGGCTTTATTTACAGGTACGATTGTTAATTCGACGTATGCACGATTGGACACGTTGACAAAGGAGGGGAAAATATATTTATATATATATATATATAACTCTCACTCGGATCGCGATGCGCTTATACATATATATGTACATAATAGGCCTAACGTTAATAACATTAAAAATCGTTTCGCTCTTGGATCGTTAACTCCTTACGTTCTAGAGCATGCTTTCTACAGGGATATCACTTAGCAACTATGCAGCCAGATAGCTGTGCGCTGCCGCATTCGTCCGACGCTTTTCGACAGGATATTCATCGAGAACAGCTCGTTATAGCATGATATAAAAATGATCTCGATAAGATTCGATGTCGAACAACAACAATCGGAAATGTAGTCTGCTATTACATTAGTCTTACAACCTCATGGGCAACATCACTTATTCACCATAGCGCCGTACATAATGATAAATCGAAAGCGTGTGAGAGATAATTATATCGCGATTACATACACGATCGACTAGAATTTGTCGATCTACTGTGGCATTCGGATATATAATATTTGGGACGCGATTCCTTTAGAATAAAGATTTCGTTACAATCGTTTCTCGCATGTTTTCACTCGATGCGTAGAATTATAATGTTCAATTAATGTTCAACATTATTTTATTTACAGATTAATATTTTCTCAATGGTTCTGGAAACACCTGTTTCTCTCAAACAAATTCTGGAAGTTTACTGGCGAACGGAAAGGCCTTATTCGTAAGTACAGGCCTAATCTAATTAACGCATTTACATTGTTTGTTCTCAAAATGATTACATTAAGATCGAAGTGTTGAATGATTGTGTTTACAATGATTGGATTGCAAGAGGATTACTTTACGAGAGGGAAGACGATGTACCTGTAGGAGTGCGAAATATAACAGACTAACTGACAACTGTTC